ATATATATATATATATATATATATATATATAATGTGTATTTTGCAGTTTACTGGCACCAAACTTTCAAAAAAATAAAAATAAATGCATGCTCATGACTCATACTAACATTCCTGAGTTTGAGTCATTATTTATAATGTTATAATGTTCACTGCTGGGACATTGGACAGTCATACAAGTCTCTCTCCTTTGACAATAAATGTAATCCCTCTCTCCCTGCCAATACTGTCACTTCTGTATTGTGTTGTGTAATAAAGTCCATTAATAAAAAATAAAAAAAAGATTTGAAAAGAAACTTACAGAAAGCATGCATTTGTAAAACCAGCCAATACAAAGCAAAAACACATTCAGAAGGGAAGACAACGACTCTTAGATCCTTCATGACACGCTCACCATTCCCTAAGAATCAAAATGAAAGAATAACATTGAATAGAAAGATGCATGGGACATTTGAAAGCAAAACGGTACATTTTTAGTATTTGCATAATGTAACCCTGCTGGGCTCTGTTTATTTTCAGCGAGGTCTTTTGTGTAAAAATGGTGTGATGCTACACACACACACACATAATTATATATAAACAATTATATGCACACACGTACAGACAAATATACAGTTATTTGCAGAAATTATAGATATTCACTTACGTGCTTTCAGGATCAGTTCTGCTGTCAGTGTAACAGAGTTCAACAAAACAAGACCAACTGCTCCAAACATGAACATGATTTCATTACAGAGAGACACTATAACACACACACACACACACACACACACGCACACACACAAAACAAGCAAACAATCAAATAGTTGCTTTAATTATGCAGATCTCTTTTCTATGCAATACTGTCAAATTGGATTTATGTCAAATAGCATAAATACAACAAAGCTTACAGTAAATCATGGGAAAAAATTATTAGGATTTGTATTAGGATTTAGCAGTTAGCAATTACATGCATTTGATCCTTGTTGGCTTGCCTCAGTCTGTTGTCTTCGTCTCTCGACTACTGAACATTCTGCCTCTGTTAAAACACAAACTACACAGACTACATTTGTATGGTAAAGTTAGCTTTAGTTTTGTAAATTGGTTGTGTACTCCTACTTCAATGAACACAAATGTGCTTTTATGACAGATTGTTTATGTGGTATATCTATGTATTAATTAACCAATAATATAACTATTTATGCATTATAATTACAAACAGCACAGTGTTAGTGCTTTATTTTTTTATTTGCATATGTAAGACATACCAATACTTTCTACTTCTTAGCACCATATTTGTATGCTCTTTTATAATTACAGTATGGGGTAATAAAGGACATAGCAAACATTTAAGTCAGTGATGGATAATACCTTGCACATTTTCTTTAAAGACCACTATCATCTTCAGAACTTCTATAAATAAAATGACACAGGTCCATTCCAAGTACTCTGTTAATTAAAATCAAGAAATTTTGATCAGCTCAACATGTCTTACAAAAACAAAAACATTTTATGTGGACTCTAAAGATATGTCAAATTATTAGCTGTTATGTGGGATACCACTTATCACTAAGTAGAAAAATGTCCTGTTGGCTCTAGAAAATATACATTAATCGTTGTCCCAGGCCAAGATAATAATAATAATAATAGCAACAACAACAACAATAATTAGTTCTTACATCAGGGGGCTGTTTCATAAAACAAGTTTACCAAATAAGCCAGGGTTATTTCAGTTAGTCTGACTTATTTTGAACCAAATCAACTGACAAGAAGTCAGACTAACTGAAATAAACTTAGCTTATTTGGTAAACTTGTTTTATGAAACAGCCCCGAGCTGTCCCACAACAACTTTATATATGTTTTTTAAAGAATGTTTTTATATGAAAAATGACTAAAAGTAAAGGCAACATATACCTCTCTCTCTTGCCAATATGGCTAGAAGAAAATAAGTCAATAGGATGATATCCAGGAGTGTTATTGTTATTATCCACAATAATGTTATCCATCTATGGCGGAGAACTGTGAATGTAAAGATGGTCATCAGCATTCATTAAAATTTCACATGTCACATAATAAAACTGATCTCAGGTCTGATACAAATCAATTTAGAGTCGGCATGAAATCAAAATTGATCTAATTAATGTTCTTAAAGGGATAGTTCATCCAAAAATGAAAATTATCCCATGAAGCTCCTCCAATCTTTATAATGGCACTGGGTAGTGGTCCAGATTTTGAAGCAAAATAAAGTGCGTCCATCCACTGGGGTGTGAATAAAGGCCTCTCGATGCATTTGGGTAATACAAATATGCATATTTTTCCGCTAACTGTCTTGCGCGCGTTCACGAGAGAGTGACGTCCAGCAGATAATGTTGGACGTAGGCAAACACGGTGACAGACAAGTAAAGTGACGAATGTGGATGCGCAGAGGAGAGAGCAAAACAAAACATGAATTAGAAGTACAAAATGAGGATTTGTAAAGAAAAATGTGGAAGGATTTTCGATATGAGCCAAGAGAGACGGGTTTTCCTTTGCTGTAAACAAAACTTGGTTCTCGAGAGATTAGCATATTCTCACCGGAGCTTACGGTACGCCTACGTCCTACGTCATCCGCTGGAACGCCACTCTCTCGTGTAGACGCGTACGACAGTTATTGGAGGAGATTATGAGATTATGGTTTATGATGGATAGACGCACTTTATTGGGCTTCAAAATCTGTACCACCATTCACTGCCATTATAAATCTCGGAAGAGCCAGTACATTTTTTAATATAACTCTGATTGTATTCGTCTGAAAGAGGAAAGTCATAAACACTTAGGATGGTTTGAGGGTGAGTAAATCAAGGGGTAATTTTCATATTTGGGTGAACTTTCCCTTTAAGACGTGTTTTTGGTCTTATTGTGCTCAATTTATTCTTGTGTGTCTTTGTGTGTTTTTTTTTTTTTTTTACATATTTGCCTTTATTCTGGTAAACACTGCTCACTTTTCAGAATACAATCAACAACCAGTGGATAAAATAAAGTCACATCCAGTTTTTCTTTTTCTTAGTAGTTTCAATCAAATACATCAGAGTTTGGTTGTAAATTGGACAGCAACTTCTGTTTCATATCGACTTAAGTAAACATTATACAGGTTGTATTTCTATTCATTAAATCCTCACAAATGTATGCATACAGGAACATTATGTGATTTACTCTTTCCACACCTATACAAATACAAGAATAAGAATTTATTGCAGCATGTACTTACATTTGAATTCTGCTTGCAGGCGAGGTAAAAGTGGTATAGAGATAAGCAGTAGTGGCTGAACAACTACCACAACAAAAATTTCTAAAAGAAGAGAATAACAGTCCATTATTTTCCCATTCAAACAAATCAACAGTCAATAATATGTCATTAAAACTCATTATATGAATTGCTCAAAAGTTCTTAAACATAAATGTTCAAATCACTGAAAAGAGAGTCTAGAGGTGGTTTTCTTGTGGAATACTTAATGACTTAATTCAGTATGTACATTTATGTAAAAAATATAATTCTACAAGTTCTACATCAAGGTGTGACACTGGCTGAACTGTATTTTATTTTTATTTTTTACACAGAATAAAAACTTATGAAAGTGGCATTTTTACAAACCACTTTTTGCATATCAGTTTCATAAATTATGAAGGGATCAGAATTCAGGTGTTACCTTCAGAGGGAATAAATAAGATGATGAACTGGAACAGTTGACAATCAGACAGGATAGAAATAATCAGACAAAATATAAAGAGCTTGTATCTGCAACCTAACCAAAAAGGAGAGAGAAGAAAGGCAAGCATTAATGGTATGTATACAAATACAATCTATCACAGTGGGGGATGACTGTGGTCTGCTGATTACACAAGATAAATGTCTCAGTTTTGGCTTAGTCACATGATGTTACATGATGACATGATATTCCTGTAGTTGGTCTAAGTAGTAACAGACTGTGGTAACAGTCAAGAAATATATTTCAGATTTATTTTCCCCTCCTCATGTGCTTTATCAACTCATTAACACATAGTTTATATTAAACTAAATTTTTCTAGAATTAATAGTACTTTGCAAAAAATTGTGTTCACACTGAGTTTGGTTGCATGGGAAGCCCTGCTTGGCCGCTCTTGACTGGGACACCTTGAGACATCAACTAAAAAACAAACATAACAAACACAGTTAGGCCTAAAATGAAACTTTTTGCATCTTCTGTATGTATTTGATTATAATTTTTGGTAATTGTAGAATTTAAAAATGTATTTGAACAAAACCATTGGTAATAAACTTATCAACCTAATAAATCTGTGCTCATATATACTTATCCTACCATTTAGCTTCAACAATGTATAAGGAATCAGATCATACAGAGACTCTTACCTATACTCAAGATGAGACAACTCAGCACAACAATTCCAAATAATACTGCAGAAAATATGTGATGTTTGGAGTCTGTATCATGTGCTCTCTTTCTCCAGCAATAGGTAAAAAGAACTATAGAAATAGATTAAAAAAAAAAAAAATGTCACACAAGATAGAGGATGTCCTGAGCAAGAACAGCATAAAGATGTGATGAACTGAACAGTGTGTGTCAAACAATGTTTTACTGAATTCAATCTCACACAGTTGCATTCCCAAACATCAGGCATCCGAACTAACATGACAGTGTTTGTTATTGTGTTCAGTGGCGGCTCGTTGGGGGAGGCAGGGGAGGCACAGCTTCCCCATAATTTTGAGGTGAAAATGGGAGGAGGACGATTTAATGTTAATAAAATTCACAATTAATTTCAGTTCATGTCTCAGAATGTGTATTTTTTGTTTGTAATTTTACAGTTGTAAAACCATAACGTGAAAGCACCGCTTTTCTATCGCGAATGTGCCGAATCTGCTGATGTAATTACAACAGCTAGGTGATAGAGAAGAGGAGGGGGAGGCCAGG